CCCTTCCCCGTTGAGTGGCGGCTATTCTACCTGCTTGTGTGTGTTTCCTGATGTCTGTCTCGTCTCCCATCATCGCGGACCAAGACACAGGTCTCAACAATGCTGATGGAGGTGCGTTACGTGCTATGTGCGTTGGCCCTCGCGTTCTGCTATGCAACGCTGCCTGTGACGGCTTCGGGTGCTGGCCAACCATCAGAGGTGCTGGCGCCTCCGGGATCAGAAGCGAAGAGCGGGGATGATTCTACAAAGAAATGTGCGGTCTTGAGTAACGTGAAGAAAGACGAGAAAGACCAATACATCGTCGTTACTTCCGCCACAGCGGCTTCTACTACGGGAAAATATGTTATGGATTTTGATGCTCCCATACCCAAGGAAAATATATTCGAGGTTCCTGTCGGATCCACCGCGACCGTGAGCAAAGATGGGAAAGTCGAATGCACGAAGATGCCGGAAGCTGTATCCTCCCTGGCCCAGCTGATGAGCTGTACAGCAGAGGGACGCGGAGGGACTGGTGATCCCAACAAAACTACCGTCCTTCTCACTATCATAACAAGTGTAACGAGAGATTCTACGAAACCCCCAACGACTGCTACAAGCAATACTTTCAGGGTTCCAGTTGGGTACAATGTGACTGTTGTCGATGGGACCGCGGTTGATTGCACACCAATAACTGGCTACATCTTCCCAGAGCCCCCAGTGCCGAAGCGAGATGAAATTCAAGAGAACCGTCTCTCTGATGCACCCCCTGATGTTTCTGCGCAAGAAGAAGCGCCCCTCGCATCGACCACGAGGAGTGATCCCACGCCGGTGTCTCCCGTGGAAGAGAAAGATTCTATGAAAGAAACCCCGGTCTCAAGTGCTTCTGCGGATATCGCAAAGAGGCCTCCCTCGGCAGAAGAGGGCGCTTCTGTTTCTTCCCTTCTACCCGACAGCGGTAAGAGCATTCCGCAGAGTGAGAAGCCTCCTGTCCGAAATTCAGACGGAACCAGCAGCGTTATGTGGGTGCGTGCGCCTCTGCTGCTGCTGCTTGCAGCACTGGCCTCCATTGCCCTGTGTTGAAGGGCTTCGGAACAGGAGAAGAGTCCTTTTTGTTTACTAATTAACAGTTGGCTGAAATGGAAAAATCATCTAAAGGCCGCTTTTTTTTTGCTTTGTTTGCTGCTTCATGGAGGGGTTCCGCACTGCGGACTCCACATGGGCTCGCCGCTGCGGAGGTGCAGCAGTCATTCCTTCTTTTTTTTTGTGTGTAGGGGCATTGTGCTCCATCCGCTCCTTAAACGTTCTGTGTGTGGGGAAGACGGGGAGTAGGCTGAGGCTCTTGCAGAGCTTCGTGTGCGGCGCCGTTGGGCTGGCGTACGCACGCTGCTCTCCAATAGTCGTAAGACCCTGCACCGGCATTGGTTGCGCTGCGCCGTCGGAAATCGCAGAACGAGACTCGCAAAAAGGCTGTGTTTTGAGAAATTTAATATAACCCTCAAGGGGCTCCGCTGCTGCAGTGGCTTGTTTAGTAAAATCACACTCTCTGTTTTGATTTGTTTGTCCCCACCTTGCCATTGCAGTGGCGAGAGAGCGCCGGCACCATTGGGAGAACTGGCGAGGAGGTGGGCCTCTTAACGGTGTGATTTTTCTTTCATTGGGCTTTGGGTCATGTAACGTGGATATACTTTGGTGGTCACTGTCCGGCGCCTCTCTCTGCTGCTGCAGCTGATTCCCGCGCAGAATGACCAATCACCTCTTTCTTCCCTCCAGTCGTTTGTGTGCAGTTTGGTGCTACGGTAGATTGTTCGTGCAGGGCGAATGCTGCTTGTGGTAGACTGAGAAGAGCTTCCGTGCTGCGGCGCAGGTGTTGTGGTGTGGCGGGACGTGGCCGAAGCATGTGCTTCTGACGAGTGAGTCAAGCGACGCTGACACGGGTTCAGGGCCTGTTGGCCACCTGATGTGTCTCTTGGAGTGGTGCTATAGACACTGAGGGGATTGCTGGTGCGAAGTGTATTGGGGAAGCTGTGTGGTGGTTGTGCTGAGGTGCAGGGGGGAGAGAGAAACCCTAAAGAAGAGTGCAGAAAAAGTACTGGGAAAACACAGTGATCTCATCAGGAGAAGCACAAGTGATATTTCTTCACTGGGGTGCGAGAGGAAACCCCAAGTACACAAGCATGGGGAAGTGCCTACTGTACAAGTTCTTTTGTTACTGATTGTCTGTGCTCTGCGTGCTATTTTCTGCCTTTTGCATCTGTTTTTTTTTTCTGAAGCAAGACAAGCAGCTCCTAGTAGGACTATTAATGCGATCGAAGAACATGAAGCACATGACAGGGAAATCGCAGTTGACACATCTACGGTGTTGCAAGATATCAAAGAGCATTGACAGTTGCATTCTCGGCGATATGGGCCTCTGTGAACCTGTTTCAATCCTGCGCCGAGGCAGAAGGAAGGCGAGACTACAGGCATCTATGGGACTGCAGCCGAAAGTGATCCAGGTGTTGTTTCTGGTACTGATGGTTGTGGCTGAACCGTTTCTTCGCTGTGCCGCTGCTGCGGCTGGTGGCATGATCCCCCGAACGAGAATGGCCACGCCTGCAGCTGGAAATGATCCCTTGGTGACACTCACGAACTGCTTTCCCAGCGTAATCCTCGGTGGTTTGCTCAACACCTACATGTGCGAAGTTAACGACGCTCAACCACTGATTGACTTGAACCTCTCCGCCTCGTACTACACCTCAGTCCTCATTCCTGAATGGCCGGCGACTCTTGATGCGAAAGCCAATACCATTACATTCATGCCTAATCGTGGGGCACCTTCAGGACGTTGGGAATTGGTCATAACACGTGTTTCTGACGATGGAAACTCTGACACTCCTCTGACGACCAATAAGACCATGGNATTAACAAACGTTCCTCTGACGACCAATAAGACCATGGACTTCATGGACATCCGTGCGACCCATGCGGATTTTGCTACACTCTATCCATATTACGGTATGATCGTCTCGTGGACACCCAATCTTCCGAGTGGCATCACGGCTTCCGACTACATGCTGGTCCGCTCTTTCAGCGACTGCCAGTACACCACTACAACCTGCACTGACACTGTTGGGTGCCACAAAATGCTGCCACCCACACATCTTCCCCCTCCAGGCATCTACTCGCTCTGTGTGACGTCAAATGGCTGGAATGACAAATACCTTCCGTGGGGTGTGGAATCTCTTGAGGTGAAGCTGCTGTTGGCCACGCCGCTGTACTTGACAGCTGGTA